GGTTTAAAAACTCCTCAACTCTAAGATAAAAGTCATTTTAACATGGTAGGCTAATTATTCTGAAATATGAACAGTAATCTTCTAGAATCCCATTTATAATTACTAATTCATCTGTTATCACAGAAAGGAGATTAAGGAAATAGTTTTTTGTTCATTTGATTGATTAGAAATTTCTATAGATTTTTAAATGTTATGAAAAGTATAAATTATAAAGGTCACCTGCTTGCTTCCTCTTTATTTCCTTAAACATGAATTTGGAGTGATAAAAGGATATTAGTTATTTTTAGAGAAATTCTCATGTCCTGTACCTAAACTTCACCTCTTTTCATGAATACTAACTAACTTGCCTTAGTTTGTTTTAAATATAAGAAACTGAACTACTAAAACTAAAGAATCTCACAGATAATTAATCTGTCACGTAGGGATCTTTGGGAATGTAGATCAGAAAGTGACCACTAACATGTTATAGAGTGCTTCTGATTTCATATGAAGTTAGGTAAGTTGAAAGACAGAAATAAATTAATCATTGTAAGCTCTGTACTGAAAAAATTTAAAAAACTTATTAACTAAGTATTATTTCCTGACCTTTGAGTCAAAGAATACAGATGGCTGTAAGAACATTTTAATATTCTGATTATCATTCATTTGTTATCAAAGGCATTGTAGGCTTCCTAGTTCTTTTAATATTTTTTATTTCTTTATGCATCTCTTTACTCCAAAGGCTGTGATAAATCAGAATAGTTTTATTTTTTATTCTAAGATGTAAAAGGAAAATTTACCATTTAACTTCACCTTTAGTCTCATCAGCTTTACAAGTCTTCCTTGACTGCTTTAGCTTTATCTGGTGCACTTCATTAAGAGATGATCCAATCTAGGTATGCTTTATTTAGCAAATGATCCCCATATGACAGTGAAGATCTAGGTCCTATTCCCTATTTGTAGATACTGCTTTCCAGTGTATCCTTATACTACTACAATTTAAATCAAGTCACTTCGCTGCTCTGGACTTTTAAACTCATCTTCTGACTTGTCTTTCTATGCCACCCACTGACTACCTATGACCACCTCAAATTTACATACTGAAGTTCTAAAGCTCCAGGAAATAGAATTAGGAGGCAGGGACTTTGAGAGATCATCAGCTCATGAGGGTGGGGCTCTGGTGGAAGGGATTAGTGCCCTACAAACAGAGCCCAGAGAGCTCCCTTGCCCTTTCCACCATGTAAGGATATGATGAAAAGGTCCCATCATAAAGTCAGAAAGCAGACTCTTGGCAGGTGTGGATCTTGGACTTCCAGTGCCCAGAGCAAGCTTCCCTCCCCTCCATCTCTATTCTAGGGTTAGTTTCTGTATCTTATCTGTAATTTCACACAAAACTGTAAAACTCCAAAATAATGGAAGAAATGTTTTCATCTCATCATCATAATTACTCCAACCATTACACTGTGTATCTTTCCTTCAGTTTTTCTCTCAAATACATAAAATGTGTGGTCGAAATACATGGCAAATGTTTAAATAAAAAATTAAAACATTACAGTAAAAGGTACATTGCCATTAATCCCACTCAAAACACTCCCTGTTGCTTCAAACACACTTCTCCCACCCCTCTTGCTCTTTCCTCAAGCAGTTATGGAAGTTGTTGCTCCCATCTTTACAAGGTATGAGCAAAAATAGAGGGAATGTTGCTGCCATGTGCCAACCAATGGAAAGGTAGCCTCTTAAATACAGTACAGGGGGGCATCATTCACTTTATTCATCCAATCTGTCACCATGCACCTTCTGGCCCCTCCACATAGTCAAAATGACCAAGAAGGCAAATGCTTTGAATTGATTCAGGACATTAAGGCAACCTTAAGGGCATAATTAGATAAGAAAGAGGACTTTCAGAACTGCTTCAGAAAGTGGCAAGAGTGATGGGATAGGTGTTTGAAGTGAGGGAGATTAAGAGCAATGTGACTTTTATTGTAATAATTTTTTAAATTTAGCTGTTCACCGCATTTTAAATCACACCTGATATGTTTGTTTATGTATATTAATTACAGAACACTTTTCATTGTCGTTAATGACTGATTCATGCCAACGATTTGATGCCCAGTTTCTGATACTGACTTATAAAAGTACAGAAATGGAAACCCGCACAGATAGTTTCTAATATTTGCTGTTATAAACAGTACTGAGATGGGAACTCTTATAACACATTTCTAGATGAGGACTGTTTTATTAAATAATATAAAAATGATAAAGTTTTCATTTGCCAAAATGCTCTTCGTAATTTCAAAATGATAGTCCCACCTAGCAAAGAATAAGGATAGTTATTTCTCCACACCCACATGAAAGGTGCATGTAATTATTTTTTTATTCATCTCAGATTTCTGGTTTTAACATGAAAAATAAAAGGTTCTTCCTGACCGCAATGCTAGACAATATCACTTGGACTTTTGGAATCAGTTACTTTGGAAAACAGATGCACAAACACAGCTCCTCAAAACCTTTCTAAGGAGTGGTGGATGTGCCAGGCTTGCCTGTGCAATTTCAACAGCTGCAATGCATTAGTTAAAAAACCACTGTCCTAGCAAATGCAGAAAACTGCAGCAGCAGATACCCAAATTACAGACAGTAAATTCAGAGCTGCATGTGAAAGAATAGCAAGTGGACAAAAGGCTTCAATCTGAAGAGCAGGGAGAATAGGTTTTCATTTCATTGGTTCAAGCACATGTACAATCACTGCATGCTCAGGAAGGTTTCAGGCTGCGAACAACTAGAGATTTTCTAGAGTAATAGTTGGAGAAACCAGACTTAATCCACTTGTTGTGATCCATTAGTGACATAAAGACATCTTATGAAAACAATTTGTCCTGGGTATCTGTAATGATCATGACTTTTTTCAGTAGTAATTAATAAAAAGAATTTTATTAGCTCAGGCAAAGGAAGATACAGAGCAGATACCTGTTTCTTTTTCTTTAGTTTTTTGTCCCTCTGTGTGTTACCTTCTTTCTCAGGCACTCTCTCTCCTCATGTTGAGAAAGATAAATCTAAAATATCCTGGGCCTACCTAACATCTTCACAACTTCCAAGGCAGAAGAAATCCTCTCATCCTTGGCTTTGAGTACTAGAGGAGATTATGACTGGCCCTGCTTGGCTCAACCCTGGAGTCATTAAAGACACTGTGACAGTTAACCCGGCCAGATCATTTGGAGTAGGGAAAGGGATTTTCCTATAAGGAAAAAAAAAAAACCAAACATGCTGACCGCCAATTCCTCTCCACTGTTGTTTCCAGTTGAATTTGCTGAAGACTACACAGAATATAAAGTCAGTTTTTACACTGACCTGCTACAGTCTAGTTAGAAAAACTAGGAGTCACCCACAGCAAGGCATTTGGTGGTGAAGAGCAACATTCTATTTTAGCTATGTTTACAGAAACATACCTAAAAGTAGGGGACCATTTACTGGCTGACCAGCTGGTGAAAATGCAAAGGACATATGTATGCTCTTTTTGAGGAAAAAAAATTTTGGTGGAAAGTAAGTGACATCTGCTTGCATTCTACTGAAAGATCCATGAGCCTTTCAATTGGTATTTGCTTTCACGAGTGGCAAATAACTGTAGACTATTGCCCTAATTGCAGCAAGCTGTATTTAATGACGTTAATAAAGTGTTGCAGAGTCTATTCAAGGTCAGTAGTTATAAATTAATTTAGATAAAACATATCATATACAATAACTTAACCTACTGAATAGTTACATATTGTATGTGGAAATATTTTAAAAATTTCAACATGTGCACTCCACATTTACTCCTATGTCCTGAAAGTGTTAAAACTGATTCTTTCTTTGCTGCTTTTACTGCTTTCTGTTGGGAAACAAATTCTCACAGAAGAAGTATAAATTCCCTCACTTTGCACATTTGTATTTTCACTTGGTAAGAGTTTCTTTTCTGTCGATGATTAGAACTGATATAGCATTTTTTCCCTCTTTCCCAAGTTTCTCTTCAGACTTCTTCGACAGACCACAGAGAACCTGAGAAATAACACTGGGTAATAAATGTAAAATTTCTAAAATGGTTTTCTGGTAATTGTGTAATCTAAGAAAAGTTACTAAACCTCTTGGAGCCTAGGAAAAGTTATTAAGCCTCTTGGATTTCCTAGGGATCTAAGAAAAGTTACTAAGTTACTAACTTCATCGTAAAATTGGGAAAACATAGCTACTGTATTAGGCGAATGTGAGAATATAAATAACAGAAGGTTTATAACACATGCCTTGAAAGGGAGGAAGTAATACTAACAGCTGTTTATCATTTACAAGGGAGAAGGTTTGAGATAAAGACAATAATTCCAATTATACTTGTTGAAATGACAACTCATCAAGTAATTCCTAGGCCAACAACACAAGGTATTATGTTCTCATATACAGTCTCTTAATATTTACCTTTCAAAACTAGTTCTGGATGATCAAAAACTCACCTTTCATACAATAAACAGTAGAAAGTAGCAACGTGTTTCTCTAAAGACATTTTTGGTGAGATAGTTGTTTTCCATTTGTCAAAACTGGACTAGTCACATTGTTTTTTACTGTGAGTTGATATATAATTAAAATCTTACATTTGTTTTGTCCTTACTTTGTTTTAGGGAGAAAACTTTCTTTATCATTATCCTTTACATCACTGTTTTTCTCTGTCCCTAACTAGATCGTTAGAACCTACATGTAGCGTCTACCCAAAACTCTTTCAACTCCAGATCATCTTTGAAACAGCAGGCACCATAAGTGAGTTCAGGTGGCAGTCATTAGTGCGCTAAATCTGGAGTGAGATTAAGATGAATGACAGCGCTGCCTGCCAAAGACCCATAGCCCCTGCAAGAAATGAGAAATTAATGGAATCAGTATTGGCATTGGCGGTGCGATTACAGGGAAAAGAGAGAGAAGGAAGAGGAGCGGAGAGGGGGGTGGAAGGTAAGTGCTTATGCACATGTGATAAATGTTTCAGGACGTAAAGCTGTCTTCTTTTGTACCTTTAATATCCCCATACTCTGCGGATTGGCCACGTAGAACCAGAACCGAAGCATGCACATTCCGAGGCTTGCTGGGAAGTATTTGGCAGTAATAATTCTCGCGGTGGATCCTTCTTGGGGGCTGGAAGAGTTGACATACAGAAAGTGGCGGCCACTACCTTGAAATAGAGTAATACAATTTTGTCAGTGCAGAAATATATCTTACAGCATGAGAATGCCTTTAAACCATGCACAGGTATCATTTTCACCCTAAATACCTCCACACAATTAAACATAATGCATTTTGCCTGAGTCATATATCAATAACTTTCAATTATTTTGAACCAAGAAGGTGTTGCTAGAATCATGGGATTCACAACTTTCACTTTGGCACTTGACTTACTCATAAAACCATGAAATGTTTGTGTTGATTATGAAAGTGGAGGCTTTTTCTCCTAATCTGCTCAAATTTGTCAGTGTTTGCCCGCTGTGCATAGAGCAGGTACAAGGTTGGCACTGGGGGCTGCTTCGATCCTGTATCTTATTTCCAGGAGCCCCGATTCCTACGCTGACAAGAGCGTCATCAATGGTTACACAGTAACTGCAAAATGAAACGCGATCCGACAGTCATCACAGTACCCCTCCGAGCCAGGGATACAGCCTGTGTTTCTCAACTTCATTAATACGTGCTAGCCCTGTCTGCTTAACCACAACCAAAATCTTTGGTTGACATCATCGGCAAAACTTAGCACAGCTACTATTTCTTTCCATGGAAAAACCTGGGGGATACAAATACATTTCTATATCTATCTGTATTGATTGATAATTCCAAATCAAGGTGATTAAAGGATTTTCTGATTGAAATTCTTTTTTCCTGTGGCATTTTCATGCTCAGAGAACAACAATGATGTTAGTGACTTGGGTTTGCTTGTTTGTTTTTCTCGTTTTAGTTAATCCAGCTTGAGGGTTTTCAAGTTTATTCATCTTTCAAATGAGTAGCTTTTAGCATCAGTGGTTTTTATCTAGTGATTTTTAAATACAATTTCATTAATCTCTGCCAAAATGTTCAGTATTTTCTTTGGCTTACTTTATTTTATTAAGATTAATTTTATTGGTACATTTTAGATATACAATAAAATGACATTCATCATTGGATATTTGCACCTTTACATAATCTATCTTGGTTCTTATTTTTTCCCCATTCCCCTGCCCTCCCTTCAACCCCTCCATCCCTCCCCATTTACAAAGACT